ACCATATCTATCCTTAAGGAGTGCTCTTGCAGTCTTGTAGCCTTCTTTGGGATCCATCGACAAACAGCTTTGCATTAACTCCTTCACTTCTCCTGATGTATATTGAACGAGATAGTACAAACGTGAGTTCGGGCTGCTTGTCTTTGACTCTATTAAATTTTCAAAGGCTCGCACGAAGTCGGAGTACTCAACAGGATCACCCGAAAACACAGAGATTTCAGGCTGTGGCAATGTCATGGCTAATGTTTGAAGCTGGTGCTGTTTCAGCAACTCCTGAAGCTGTTGATTTTGTTGTTGTTGCATCTTCTGGACTTCAATCACGTGACTGACATTCTTGTCACTTAGATCTAGGTGTTGTTCCAATAATCCACCTTCAGCACTTTCACCATTAATCGCAGAGGGTGAGCATCCGTAACCTTTCCATACAGGGGCGTCTGGGTTTAGTGGACTGCATTTAACCTCTTGATTTTCCTCTGTCTGATGAACTGGAGCTTCCACAGTTTCCTTCTCTTCGACTTGACCTGGAGTGGAAGTTGCAAATTGCCCTGCTAGTGTCAGTGTATGACTTTCTTGGCCTTCAGGCATATCCACGGTGCTCTCCTTCTTGGTTGCATGTAAAGTCGGTAACTGACTTGACAGTGTTGACAGACGTCGCTCCTCACAATAACTGTACACCCTTTCTTCAGCGTCGGCCTTTGCTAACTTAGTTTCCAACTCAAAATTCTCCTTCTTCTGCTTCAACAAGAGTTCTTCTAACTGAATGTCCTGCCGTGTCTTCAATGCAGCTACTTCCACTGACAAGGCAGCTTTCTTAGCAGAGGCTCTCAGCCCTGCACTTGAAGCGGTGCTTGACTGTGAGAGACTAGAACTAGCGCTAGATTTAGACTTGCGCCTCCTAGAACTTGCAGCAGACTTCGATTTCGTAGAACTAATATTACTGATAGAGTCTTCCGGATGAAGACTGATGGCAAGATCTAATTCTTCTTGGAGCTTAAACTGAGCAGATTGCAACCAGACCTCAAATGACTGAAACACCGCAGTTCCCATACGTTTCACTGATTCAAAATACTCGATCGAGTCACGAATTGCACTTTCATCAGTCAACTCAGCGTGATACTTATCATGTGCTTCGTTAAAATGTCTCATAGCTACTTCTAAATCAAGAAACTTCGCTCTAACCTGATCAACATTGTCAGAGCTCTTCATTAGCTCAAGTAATTCGCGCTGTCTTCTGGTGACGGCCGCCTTTGAACCGGACCTACTACGCTTTAAGCGAAGAATTCTCTCGTGAACGGCTCCATCGACGTCGACAGTTTTGGTTTTCAACCCACGTAAGTCCATCTTACTCTACAATCGATCCACAAGCGAAGAAACAAATTATCGATAACACCAATCAATCAAAGAACGGATAAATTCATGGCACAATCGACGAAAATCCAAGACGATCCACAACGAAACCAGCGTATCCTTCTAACGCAAATGTAGACTTAAATGTTCATATGAATTTATTCCAAGGAGATTCGGACCAAAGATTCGCTACAAGGATCTGGTTAGACTACGAAAAACAAAACGAGTGTGAATAAAAGGAAGAAAGATGAAAATACTTAGCGACAACATACTTACAGGATTTGAAGGCTCGAAGGAAACGTGAAAAGACTTTAGGCCATGTAAACGAACAGAACTCGACTAGAACTTTACCTCAAGATTTTCGAGCGAGCACATGCGCCAGACCATAATATTACAACGACATATAAATTACGTAGTTCTTCTACCAGTCCCGCGCGGGCTAAAGACGGGAAAAACTTAACAGATACAAGAAGAACGTTTTGAAACCTACACTGCCAATGTCACTTTCTTTTTCCCTTTCAATGATTATGGCGTGCCCAGTTCTTTCTATCTACATCCATAGTGAGTCACCACCTTGCTGCCTGATTATCTACAAGTATCTCAACAAAAGAAAAAAAACACGCTGCATTGGGCCAAATCGTTCTTCAAATCAGTCATTGAGGTTAAATTTACGTACAGTTCTTCTCATTTCTTGACGTAACTTACCAGATAGACTTTAATTGTTGACCAAGTAAGTGTTTGTTTGACGCAAAATGTCGAAGTATGATGTCACAAGGGCTGACGTAGCCAAAACGGTTAAATAAATTGTTTACTTTCAAAGTCAAACTTATGTCATTTGGAATTTAACCTTCGGACGTACACGCAAATTCATACCCCCACCGTGGTACGGAGGGGGATAGAACCCCTCCCCGGAGTTTTTGATATGTTGCAGTATTTCGAAACGATTTTACCTTTAGTGGAAAGCCTTTGATCTTCTTAACAAGATGAAGTATATTTTATGGGTGGTGGCGCTGCTGGAAACCTGTGACATCAACAACAATGGTCTCTAACTTGGCCGCCATTTTGATTTTACCAAGAATTAGAAATCAGGCTAAAACCGCGAGAAATGGAAATTTTTTAGCTTTACATGAAAAATGACACATAAATAAGCACTTATGATTTTAGCCACAAGATTTACTGTTATTGTATTTTTACCTCAAACTGGTTTCGACCACCTGCTACTTATGACATCATACCTCGTAACCATAGCAACTGACCATCACTGACCTTGTCTCAAAATGTGCGCGAGTGATAAAGGAACAGCTACTGCAAACGTATGATGTTTTATCCATCAAACCAGACGAATATCTTTTAGGTGATGTCAACATAAATATTCTTCGGTCTCAGACTTGCAGCTATGCCCCACAATTTTTATATTGTTTACAAAGCTACGCCCTCTTACCAACTATTGATAAACCTACAAGAGAGTTTACAATGATTCCACTTCACTTATCGATAATATTTTCCTAAATAAATTTGAAGACTATTCCGTCAGTGTCTATTGAGAGTGGTATTTACCCTTCAAAGTTAAGCTTGCTAAAGTTTTACCTACAGCTTTCAAGAGTCAGGATGAATTATACCCAGATAACTACAGGACATTCACTCCCCCGGTCATTATTTAATCGCGTCTTGGAGAAACTAATGTACAATCGATTAAAATCGTTCCTAGATAACCACAATTTATTGTACCATTGCCAGTATGGCTTTCGGGAAAAATGTTCCACTCAACATGCTCTTATTGATATTGTTGATAGAATTCAGCTTATTATTGGCAAGAAGCTTTTTTTTCTTGTGGTATACAGTAAAATTCCGAAAATAAGGCCAGGGGCTTATATTTTTCAAAGACCCTTTTTGAGAGGGTTATTTTTGGAGGGGCTTATCTACACAGGGAAATTTGCGTTTAAAACTCGATTGGGCTAGCCTTATAGTTGGAAGTAAATTTACCATTTTTGCTTTGTTTTACTTTGTACTTGAGGACAATTTTCCCCAAGTACAAGCGCCGGTGGAGCTTATATTTGGAGCCCTGGTCATTTAACGGAGGGTTTTTGCGTTACCAGTTTGGCGGGCTTATATACATGGAGGGGCTTATATTAGGAATTTTACGGTATTACATTTTAAAACTTTAGCATTAAATCCGCAGTTAGAGCCCTTAATAACTGGCGTTTGAGACAATCAACCACGGTCCCCAAGTTTCAATCTTATTGCAGAAACTTTCTGACAAATTAAGTTCTTATTTATTTGCTGATGACACTTATCACTTTTACTGTTAAGAACTTGAATCCTTGCAGTTAAAATAAGCAAAATCAGCTAATCAGCAAATCATTAGGCATCCTTGCAAGACTAAGGCATTCTGTCCCTTCTTCCACTTTCTTAAACATATATCGTTCTCTATTTAATCATTTTTAAGCACTCAAGAACTGACCATATGAAGAACTCCTTGTCAAGAACTGGTGCAAAAATATGAAATAGTATCCCCGACAGTGATCGTGCTCTACCTAAATATAAATTTATAAAGAATACCCTACAGCATCGGCTACTGGATATTTTGATACAGGAGGATACTTATGTTGGTGTGCGTACTTTAATTGACATATTTAGTAAATATTAAATTTTCAGTTTAATTTCATTCATACCTTGTTTCATTTACCTATTTTGAAATATATGTATTCACTGTCTTGTTAATTCAGTATGTTGATGTTCGTGTATCTGTTTAACTTTGTTATGTTTCAACCCTATTATTGTAACGCTTTTTACTTTTCCTTCCTGCCTCGATTAGCTAAAGGCTACTTTACGGGCAAGGATCAATTATGGCATGTATCCAAAGTGTTTTTAGTTAAACGTGAATTTGAACTTAGAAGATATTTTAGTGCACTCCCGGAACCATAATTTTCCTTAAAAAAACGAACCTTTGGTATTTTTTTTTTTATCTTTTTTACAAAATAAGCTGATATTCCGGTAACATAAAGCCTTAAATTTGCTCAAAATGGTATCTTTTTAGATTTTCGTTATTTTTTTTTTTAATTTGACTCAAAAACGCTAATTTAGGCCAGACAAGAATGATCACATGGCAGTTTAATGACGTCACAAAACTGTTTTCTTTGTTTTTACGCAATTAGGAATCTCCTCTTTCAAAATTTTCTTTTTCCTTCGGCTTTCGACAATAAAGATGTGTTGTTTAAGTTAAATAGTAATGATGACACGACACTAAAACGCTTAAATTTAGACTTATTTTAAAAGGGGGTACTCCGTAGTTGTGGTACAATGTACGAATTTATCCAAATTCAATATGTCAGACCTCAGCTCATATTTGAGATATTGAAAAAAATGTTCCAGCTTTCAACTCCCGTTGTATGGTTCTTTTAAAATTGATATAAAAATGGGAAGATTCTAAAGTTTAAATTTACGTAAGAATGACACCAGAAATTGTAACGTCATATTTTGACATTTTGATGTCAAAATAAATGCCAATTTGATTGGCTTATTATTTTGCATTTGCATTTCCAGGCCAAGTGTGGTAAGGAAAGAGTTAGAGCCACTAAAGTTATTTTAAATTAAACAAAATTTAAAGGAGGGAAGTGCTGGCAGCGGGGTGATAGAAAAAAAAGAAAAGAAAAATGCCTCAAGACCCCCAGGGATTGTCCGATAATTCCAATGAGGGCAAGAAAATTTCCGACGTGGATACAGTTTTGAGACAAATTGGCCAGCTTGGCCCATTTCAGATTCGCATTCTAGCCATATTCCTGCCTATTTTCTTCTCCATCACCTACCAATCACTTATCATGGTGTTTACTGCGTACGAGCCTCCATGGATGTGCGCCAAGCAAAGTGAGTCGTGTCTACAATCTAACAGTTCGTCCGCTGACAGCCTAGTAGTTTATAGCACAGCTACCCAACCCATTGAGCTCTACGAAAGGAGATGTACCTTGAATAGAAGCGATTGGAAGTTTGCGTATGAAAATCTTTATGAAGGGCCGCACAATACCATTGTTGACGAGGTAAACCTAAAAATAACAATTCCTTTTGGATCGCTTTATAATATAGGGGGAGACAAAGGTGTTGGGTATTTCTTTAGTATTTCGGAAACTATCGTTGGTTAGGATATAATATGTGTGAGTATGTGCTACGTCGTTTGTTGGTCGAACAATCCTCAAAATCAAGAAACTACTGACAAGTAGGTTAATGAAGAAGGGCATAATTTATTAAACTCTTTACGGTGAATGAGGTGCTGAACTTCCTATCCAAAAAAAAAAAATGTTTTTGCATTTGGTAATGCTCGATTGCTAACTCATGAAAGCAGAGCAGAATTCATTAAATTAAATTAATCAAGAGTCTGACTAAAGATCTTTTCCACTTGACATGCTGTCTTCATTTCTGCTGAGAGAAATGCAAATTTTACATTGATGCCAAATGTAAGTTAAATACGCCTTAAGTTGAATCCAGTACCGGTAATAAAAGTAACATTTTCCCTTACAATGTTAACAATATTGATGAAAATAAATTGATTCGGTGCATAGGGGGATATGCTGAAGCTTATCTGGACAAATCCTTTCTCTGAGAGCAGAAACGAAAATACAGTCAACTCTCTCCAAGACGGACACCTTTGGGACCGCCACGAAGTGTCCGTCTTAGAGATATGTCCGTCTTAGAGAGATGTCCGTCTTATAGAGAGTCAACTAAAGGGAATAAGCAAAGGCAGGGACCAGCTCTAGGTGTCCGTCTTATAGAGGTGTCCTTTAAGAGAGAGTCGACTGTAATGCATTACAGATCTACGTTTGGTCCAAAGTTCGTACCTAATGCCACAAAAATTGAGAGCGCTATATTACAACTTTTAAGTTGTATAGTAAGTTATAGTACATTAGTCAATTCTAGGTGCGGTCAGCCTTCCCTACGAGTGTTGACCCCTAGGCATTAGCATTTTTTTTACCTTGGATAACATGCTGCTCGCGCACGATTTAAAAACTATTTTCACCACAATGTGAGGTATTTTTGTTATATATTTTTACATCTATTTGAATGGTATTTATGAAACTTTGCCGGGTTTTCCTTGTATTTGAAACATATTTGCTATAAAAACTACATTTTAAATACAGTATTTAAATCATATTTTCAGAAAGAGAGTACTGGCGAGTGCTTAAAATTCTTTCAAATACCGCGAGGGTTTCTGTAGTTTCGGAAATATCCATACTCTACCCACGGAAGGGATTGGAAATTTCCCGGGGGGTGGGGGTTTCTCAAAGGTCAAAAATTTAAGTAAATGTATGAAGCTTGACTAGAATTTCCAGAGAGGTTGGGGGGGGGGGGGGGGGTGTTTAAGGAAAAATCCCTTCAATGGGGAAGGTATGGATAATTTTGGAACCACGCAATCTATGAAATGCAAACCCTGTTTTATAGACACCAGCTTTATACAATCTCCTTGTCATTAAAAAAAAAAAAAAAGTTTTCTTAGGACCTGAGAGTCCTCACTTTTTTCTCTAAATTTTAATAATTTTAAACAGACATCCACTGAATAACAATTATTAGGACAGTACTAGTAACAATAACTTAAGGAATACAAAGACATTTTTCAGTCACTTCAGCCAGGACTACTCTTGAGAGTTAATCTTAATAATACAGTTTCTTTTTATCAACTGTTTCCTGTAATAAGACCTACAGTGTACATCCGTTTTTTTGAAATGTAAAAAAAGAATATTATTTCATTGAGACAGCATGTCAATGTTCACAGACTGTTTAGCTTACTGATGCTAGTGTCCTGTTCTATTTCTGTGGAAGCTTTTTAATTTTTTATCGTCCCCCAAGTGTCTGTATTAACAGAGTTTCACTGTCAAATAGTCATGCAGGCTTCTTGTGAAAGTAGGACAGTGTTATCAAAATTAATAACAGAAACAGTGCGATGTGCAAGAACTTTGTTAACAGGTTCAATTTTGTACCCTCATTCCTGAATTATTCAGGTGGAGGAAAATTGCCTGTCCCAGCAACAGTAACTTAATGATTGTTGGATGAGACAGCTACAAGGAATGTTATTATATTTTGCTTAGTTTTGCCAATTACACTACTTGTTATTATAAAACTTGGCCTTAGAAAAGAAATTACCTCTGAGCAATATTAAGTCAAGCTTCACCCTAGAACAAACAAAAATAATTATATCTTTCCAGCATTCTTATTTATTTTAGTTATACCAGTGCAATCTATTTAAAGTTTTTGTTAATTCAGTTTATCTGTTTCCAGATCTGTAGCCGTTGTTTCATTGAATGATCCTTTAGTGTTTTAGCCAGTTATCACTGTACCAGCAACTTGTGACCTTTGTTTTGTACAGGTGGATGATTTGGCTAATAATTGTATTATAGTGGGAAAGATGAAAATAATTTAACTTTTATTTTCCTTTAGAAAACTTTATTGAACTTGATCGGATAATTTTAGAATACACTTTTCTAGTACTGTTTTAATTTTTTAAAACAATCATATTTTACTCACTGTAAGTATGGTGAGTTTTTAAAGAAAATTCCCAAGAAATACATGCAGGTGGCTTAGACAAATCCAGATATAAGTGATTTCACTTTAAAGGGTTTTTCAGCTGGCTTTTAATGGTCTTTTCTAAAACTTGCTTTTTTGGTAAAGCAAAAGAAAATGCCTAATTTGCAAAATTCTATTTTGATTTTACAGTAAAATTAAGAAAATAAGCCCCGGGGCTTATATTTTTCAAAGGCCCTTTTTGAGGGGGTTATTTTTGGAGGGGCTTCTATTCGGAAGGGCTTATCTACGGAGGGAAATTTGCATTTGAGAATCGATTGGGCTAGCCTTATACTTGGAAATAAATTTACCGTTTTTGCTTTATTCAACTGTGTATTTGAGGGCAATTTTCCAAGTACCAGCCCCCGAGAGGCTTATGTTTGGAGGGGCGATTTAACGGAGGGTTTTTTACGTTACCGGCTTGGGGGACTTACATTTCGAGAGGCTTATTTTCTGGATTTTACGGTATTTTTATTTATATTTAAAACACCATTGACAACAGGTTAAAACACCATTAAAAGCAGATTAAAAGACCATTTAAAGCAGGTTAAAACACCATTAAAAACAGGTTTAGAGAACATTTAAAGGCAGGTTAAAACACCATTAAAAACAGATTAAAACACCATTAAAAGTATGTTTAAACACCACTTAAAGCAGGTTAAAACACCTTTAAAAACAGGTCAAAACACCATTAAAATCAGGTTAAAGCACCATTCAAAGCAGTTTAAAACACCATTTAAAAAAGCAGGTTAAAGCACCATTAAAAACAGAATTTAGTACCTGTTTTAAATGTAGTTCTCAAATACAATAAAACAGTTTTAAAAATATGTCAAAAATATGTTTAAAATAGTGTTTAGTTTGGTACGGGACGTACGTACGGGGACAGGGACTCTTGAGCTGTCAAATTCCCCGGGATGGGGACGGGAAAAGACGGCAAATGCCCCGTCCTCCATCAACACTGCAACATTTTTCATTGATCGCACAGTCAAGTAATGACATTTTAAGCATTTTGGTGTGCGGTTTTTTGTTTCAATTAACGTCTGCTTTCAGTGTCTGGTCTGCCTTTGTAACATCGCCACGGACTTCACCCTGCGACGACACCAGTTTATGCTATGGTTTTAGTACTGTTATAAAATCATTGAATAGTTTTACAAATATGATAGGATGTTCTTTAAATAATGTCAACAGAAATTTTATTCAATAAGGGAAAAAATATTGATTCACGTCGATAGCTTCGATTCCGATTTCGCTATGTAATTCTCGCTTGATACGCAATGAAGGAATACATGCATAAAAACGAAAACATGCCTTTACAATCCTCTTTAATTCTTTGCCCTCGAGCTCCTTGACAGATGATCCAATCTGCTTGTTTTCCCAGTAAAATCCTCTGTGTAGTTATATTCGCATTGGAAACTACGTGAGTGCCAAAAATCTCGGTGGGGGCCTCGTGGTTGGCAAATTCCGACCCCCGGGCAGCGCAAAATTTGCTAATACCCCACCCCCGGGGCTGTAAGGCGGGAAAATGTCTCGTAAAAGCCTGGGAGGGGGGGGGGAGGAGGGCTGGGCGCGGCTGGAATTGTCTGACTAATGCATAAATTCGTTGTAACCGTACTATTAACATGAAATGCTGCATCTTCGTGTAATAAAGCTGACAAGAACGTGCATTCTTATTGGTTAAAAAGACGCTATTGGTCATTAATACCGGTAAACTCACTGATTATGACCACTGTTACGTGTTTCAAATGGATTTGACAGCAAAGCAGCTTCCGAACACCTGTCACTGATTCTTCGCCAAAGATCTGCATTTTTAGTGCTACTGCCTGCAACTATGTCGTGTTATTGCCGATACAGTAGATCTGAAAGTCTGAAATTCGTTAAGTCTGTAAACGTCCAAAGGAGAGGCAGGGGGTGTAATCTCTCTTGTCACTGTGGTTAATGTGTAACCGGCGAATGTGTTGTACCGGAATCCGTTTCCAGGCTACAGCATTTCTTTTTTTCAGGCTCCTCTCTTATCTTGGCTTTTTTCCTGGTTTGTTTCTAAGGTTGGTCCTTTTACTGAAGTTTCCTGACACACCAATTTCTCGTTCACTATAAAAAATGTTTGTTACAATATTCAATCAAAGTATCTCAGAGCATAGCTGATGGCATGGAGTCATTCAATGCCGTTTTTTTAGTTTATACTTTTGTTTTGACCTTATTTCAGGCGCGGAAACTAGTTAATAACTATATATAAAGAAACGGAACGAAAAACTCGAGCCAAGCTAATCTTAAAAAATTCAGAAAGCAATAAAAGTAATTCTTTTTCTTGACCAAAATTTCTCCAATGTTTTCAGTTTGACTTGGTCTGCGACCGTGCTTTCCTAGGATGGTTGGCAAACGCGATTTTGTACTTCGGATGGGCCGTGGGATCTCTCGTGCTCGGCACAGTAGCAGATAAATGTGGTCGGAAAAATGTTCTCTTCCCCTCACTTACAGTGATGTTGGTTGCTACATTTGCAATGGCGTTTGCTAAAGCCGTCTGGGTTGTCCTCGCCTTCCGTTTCATAATCGGAGTTTGTCAATCTGGTGCTTTTCAATCAATTTTTGTCTTGTCAACTGAACTAGTTGGACCTGAGAAACGTGCACTGGCAACCGCTGCGCTTTGGTTTTACTATACGGTAGCTTTGATGGTCTTGGGACTAAAGGCTTACTTTGTCCGCGACTGGCGAATGCTTATGATCCTGTCTTCTGCTCCATGGATTTTCATTCTTATATTCTGGAAGTAAGTCAATGAGTCCAGATAATTAGCCGGTTTTAACAGCAAGAGATTTGATTGCATAGAAGAAGCAAAATTCTTATGCCTTGTTTACATTTCATGGCGCCTTGAGCGGGAAATCAATGATAGAAATCCATCATCATCATCATCATTATCATCATCATGCATCCTCATCCTCATCATCATCATCATCATCATCATCATCATCATCATCATCATCATCATCATCATCATCATCATCATCCTCACATGAAACAATCAGTGACAGCGTGTTTACAAAGTGGGCTTGCAACTACTCCAAAATGTAAAACGGTGGGGTATGGAAAAGCTTGCAAATAAAAGTAATATGACTGAAGGGTTTTAAATCCAGGTTTGTTCCAGAATCCGTGAGATGGCTTCTTGTCAAAGGAGAGAAAGAGAAAGCTCGTGCTATTTTGGAGAACGCCGCAAAAGTGAACAAGAAGCCGCTCCCAAACGACGATCTCTATGTTCCTGGGACGACAGAAAACAAAGGAGTGGTGGACCTCTTCAAAACATGGAAACGTGGGAAGCTGTCACTTATCTTGATCTACTTGCTGTGAGTAGTTTGACGTTAAACTTGCCGATCCATTATAAACTTGATCCATACAATGGAAATATTCGTTAACACCTGCACAGCATTTTTCTTTCCTTTTTCTTTTTGTTTTGTTTTCCTTTTTTTCTTGGATTATAAAAAATTAAATTACATATTTTTTAGGTACGTGAATGGCGTAGTCTACTTCGGTATTGCATTGAGTTCAGCAGAATTCGGTAGTAGCATTTACTTCAATTTTGTCATAACAAGCCTGGTGGAAATTCCTGCAAATGCGTTGCTTATCCACAATTGTAACAGGTAAAACATTTTTATTCACCACATGTAACGTTTTCTGGACATCAAAAGGGTGAAAATGATTTTTAAGGATAATACATTTTTTTTCTCCCCACCCTCCACCCGCGAAGTTTCCCATGTGGGATTTACTGCCCTTGGCAGAAGGTAATCAACGTACTGAATTGTGAAATACGAATCATGGGATTAAGAGAATTTCGCTAATTGGTCTTAATTGACAGATATCAATGATAATGCCAGAACTAACTCGTATGTTGCTAAGATTATGGAATACTACTCAAGGTAACCACAAGCGTCCCAAGCCCACGTTACGAATGTGCATTGTAACTTTACTTTCTCACAAGAGAGTCGATCTCGCGTTACAATTACAGTCGACCGTTCAGAAGTAAAATACTGAGGTCTACGAACTTTAACTATCATTATACCTTTGTTTTTTTCAATGAAATAAACAAAGGTGACTTACCTTTGATGTGTATTCCTGAGTGTGTTTGTTTTTTTTTTTTTTTTTTTTTGGAGTTGATTCAACGATTTAGGGAGCGTTTCTTTGCTAAAAATACAGATCCGGATTTTTAATTTGAAAACAGATGTTTCGTTTCTTTGCTAAAATACAAAGAACGCATTATTGAGCCAAATGATCTAAAACGGAGGTGGATTCTTTGGATCATATCCAAAACCGGATATTTTGGATACATGACCGAAGTGTTTCTTTACCACAGATCCGAAAAGATTGAATATTGCCAGCGATAACTCAAACAAATTTAATACACACGTCAACTGTTTAAATAAGGCCAGTCATGGATTAAACTATCGAATTTACCCTTTTTATCGATGTGGTAAAATACCAATACAATCCCATTAAAGATATTTAGCGTTCGCAGACCTCAGTAGTTTATTTCTCATACAAAGTCTCATTAACGGTCGCCTATAACTCGACACCGACTGAGAAAGTAAATTTTTATTCCATACTCGTAACCAGAGCTTGGGACGGCTCTGCGTTAACACGCGAAAGAAACCTCGCTTCATGCTGTTTGGACAAGAAACAGTTACGGGTAACAATATTATTGTCATTATCATAAAAAAATATCGCTACCAATATCATTGTCATTGCCCTTATCATCGTCATCGTCATCATTATCATCAGTAGCATTATCCTCATCTTATTCATTTTCATTATTATTATTATTATTATTATTATTATTATCATTATTACAAGTGATATCGGTAAAAGTAAATTATAAGTATCACTATATGAAGCTTCGAGTTTAAACCTTAAAACAATTTGATAAAAAAGGGTTAGCCTTTTCGTCTTTCTTTGGTGCTGCAATATTTATACGACAATGTCACGTTCGAGGTTGTCCGCTATAGTGCGAAGTAATTCCATTTGCTTTTATTGAAATGGATGGATGAAAACTGATCGCTCTTTTTGATATACAAATCATGTCCAGTGACATACGAATCATGTCAAAGAGAAAGTAAAATCAACCATTACAGCTCACTGTTGAGTCGCGGCACAAGCCGATTGATGTAATGGATTTACAAAGAGAGATACGAATTGCTCTTACTGAAAATAAAACAACAACATAATAACAGCCCGCAAACCACTAAGCGGAAACTTATGTCATGATAGGCCCCTTTCAAACGTGGAATTTGTTTCGAGTGCCGAACACCCATTTTAGTCGATGAAAGTAATTCAATACGGCAGTTGATTCAGACGTCGGATATGGTGGTGCCGAATTAAACTCCGTTTCTTGTAAATATTCCCAGTCTCAAGGCCGCCAAATACATTCTTTGGTTTTTAAAGTTCTCCTTTATTTACAAACGTGGAACATTTATTTCGGCAAACAAACAGTTAAGTTGAGAAAGGATTTTACAAAAGTCTCAAGAGTAGGTCTCTTTTTCGATTTTAATTTGCAATATCGGTCAATTTAAGCAACTTTTAAACTTCTGGCTCAGTTTTCGTTTGCTTCTGCTTTGAAAATGGAATAATAATTACTCAGGGATAATACAGTGTAAAGATTTGTAGAGAAAAAAAACAAAAAACTTGCCAATTTATGGCAAAAAATGTACCTTAAAATCGAACAAAAAGATTCAAAACGCTCTGATCACGTGGCTGATGACGTCATGTCCCTCTTTTGGTCGTGAGAAATATTATCAGGTAGAACATTAGCTTCTTGCAAATTTTCTCTGCCATATTATGAAACGTCAACTCTCTACAGCCCTCGGCCTAGTCTCCCGACTTTTTCGCTCATGTTCATTACCCCCTTAAATTTTAAATGCCGGACGTGAACTGGTTATTTTGAAATGCCCCACACAACCAAAACCTCAAATGGGCTATTTGTTTTTAACCCAATAATGAAATTTAGTCACAGCAACAAAAAAACCTAATTCGGAAATAGTCACGTGAATGATGACGCCATCACCCTACATGTGTCGTGGGAAGATATTTTCTGGCAAATGCTATCTTGTATTGGTCTTACATTCTTCTACGTAAAAAGTTATAAAGTTTTTAAAGAAATTGCCTCAAAGGATTCCGGGATTAATCTTTATGATAATTATAATTTACTATTGTAATTATTGAAAGAAATCATTATTTTTAATTTAGATTCGGCCGTAAGAAAACTACAATAGCTTACATGATAGCTGCAGGAATTGCTGTCGTGGCGGTGTCGTTTATCCCTCATGGAACAGACAATGCAGGTACTAGCCTCTGCTACAATTGGCGACAAAATTGTTGAGATATTATCCTTGAATGGGGTAGCTTCGGAGAACGAAACAACTTACACTCCTCCCCACCATTCAAAATTGGGTTTTCGTTGTTTCTTTTAGGCAGTTCGAGCAAGCACAGCTTTGCATGGGGTTCGGAAAAGGGGAAGCTTTATTTCCCCCTTCGAAAACAGTAAAATTTCAGAAAGTATTTTCCCATGGATTATTTCTTTTATGTGTTGGCTTCCCTAGGCTTTATTGCTGGGCGGGCAGCGCTTGGCACTCTGGGTAAACTGTGTATCACCACTTCGTTTGGCGCTGTGGACCTTTTAGCGGCGGAACTTTATCCAACAGTCGTGCGGTAAGATTTTGTTATTTTAACACATGTACTGGAGACTTATTGCATATCAAAATATTGCAACCCCTCCCTAGGCCACGCCAATTTTTGGTTTGTTTGTTTGCGCTTACTTTTCTATCCGTTCCCCGAAACAAACCCGGAGAGCCGCACACAAGCTTAATTTTTGCGTTGGGACTATTAAATAAACCTTTTACAACTGTATATATTCTGAAAGCAATATCCAAACACGTAAATAACAATTGAAAAAAATATTTTAAATATATATATATAGATAATAGGTTAGGAAAAGAGAATCAAACCGAATAACTAACCGTCACTCAAGAAGTAACCTTTGATTTGGAATCACGTGACCCTAATTAACCAATAAAATCGCGCGGAAATTAAACGGTGGATTATAATATTGGATAATCAACACAAGACCTACAAAATAAGAAAGAACAAGTATACAAAGATTTACAAATTTTACAAGTTTAGTGTAAGTCGAGCCAAAAAAGGCAAATAACTAGAGTATTGATTACACGACATACGTAGTCAGGTAGAGCGTACCGACATTTACAGATGTCTAAGGTGTCAGTGTCACTTAGGCCAAAAAAGGCACATTAGCCTTCCCATATACGTTTTTTGAAATAATTAAAATAACAACAAATTATTGAGTGATTGATTAACGGAAGGACGCGTTGGATTTCTTGATCGATCTCCCTAACGGATAGAAATCACAAATAGAAACATCCAACTTATAATTCTTCCTGATAATCATGTTTCTTGCTAAAAGATTGTTTTCTATTCCTGTTTCTTTTTTTTTTCCCCTTTTTATACCAGTAACTTTTATCATTTTTTTTTTTTTTTTGCATTACAATCCAAATAACGTTTCTGGTAATACTCTGTTCTCTCTCGTCGAACCTTTCCAAACACAGAACATACTCATTACATAAGTGAATGAACAATGTTTCCTTTGCCAGGTTGTAAAAAGTGTCTTAAGAACCAATAATTTAAGTGCCTCACGATGGTTTCCAGTTTTTTTTTCTGAGTAATCTTTAGTTTCTCTCAAAGTATTGAATTTCCCATAATAGCAACGATTGAATTGTTTTCAACATTTAATAGTGTGCATAACTAAAAAAAATCTACTTCTCATGCTTAAAATGAGGAAGACTAAAGGCAGGATGTTAAGATGTAACGTTTGTAACGCTAAAAGACTGAAAAGCATGGGAAAAAAATAGGTGGCACACTGATTATCATCTAAGGCTAAATAAGCTCTTTCTCGTCCATTGCCAATACTTCATCATCCTCGGAGACCCAGGGGCAGTCAGGGTCGGGAGAAAGGGTACAGACTCTCACCGAACTATTTCCAAAAATTCAAGCGGATGCCGGCTCCTGATTGGGCACAAAAAATGCTTTGTATTATTGTGCCCAATCGGCGAACAGTGTCTCCTGAGTTCTTTTTGTGAGTTCGTACACGACGGCTATTGTCTTGCCACACTTGCCCAGTTCGTTCACCAAGGGAAACTTTTATTTTCTACTTTCCTAACCAGAAACGAAGGAACTACCGATGAGTCGAAAAAACGGTTGGGATGCTATCAGCAGGAGCAATTCAATTTGCCCCGAGAATATTCTGTTTTTGACTCATCACAATGTATCGTAAATAATAAGAAGTTAAAGATGCGGCGGTGACGAGAAAGTCAAAAAAACAAAAGCTTGACAAGGCAAAACAACAACTTTGCACGTGCATCACACTTTTTTGTACATTTTTTGCCGTCAACCCCACTACTACCCGTGAAAATGCCTAATTTCATGTTTTGTGAAGGACGTAAATAAGCAATGACAAAATTCATTCTCTCATGAACTTGGATATGGCTGCTAGAAATTCAGCTCCAGAAGAGTCCGCTTGTATTTGACAAAGTAAGCGAGTTGGAATAATCACGATAGAAACTGAAAAAAGGTGAATTCCCTTTTCCATGCGACGTTTTCGGGGTTGTCGGCCGTCGTGGTATCTTTTAAAAATTTTCTAATTAATATTTATGCCAGACGTGACCGATGCAAGCGTGAATACCTGTTGTAAGCTCAAACTAGTATTTTTGGTAAAGCGTCCTTAGTTTTCGGGCAGACAGTGTTTAGAAATCAGATGGGGATTTTGTATCAAACTGAAAGTTTCCTGACTGCGTTCATTTCTTTGGTGCATGAGCCAGACAAGCCGTGGTCGAAACAATAGCCGTCGTGTACGAACTGACGAAAAGAACTCAGGAGAAACTGTTTGCCGATAGGGCACAAACATACCAAGCCTTTTTTGTGCCCAATCAGGAGTCGGGATCCGCTTGAATTTTTGAAAATAGCTCGGTGGGAGTCGGTACCCAGGGGCTCGTTCGCCCGTAGTTAAAAACTTTCGTCGCGCCCTTTCTCCCGACCCGACTGACTGTCCCTGGGTCTCCGAGGATGTGCTTGAACAGATCGCTTTCTTAAGAAGGGCGACTGTAACTATGGTAACTGATTGTAAAATAAACAAACACGAATGTAATAATAAACGTCCTATGGATCTCCTCAGCTAACACTTTGACCAAATAGCTTCGTTTAAATTAAAGCAAATTTTTGTGTCTTTGAAGCGTTCCTTGTGTGTATTTAAGCTTATTTCATTGCGTTGTTGCGATCGATTTCGGTTATTGAATCACAACAGATTCGTTCAAACTACCGCATTCAGTCGACATTTTAACCCTCGGAAGCACAAGGTGGGGGGGGGGGGGGGTTGAGTTTTTTCCTAGAGAATAAAACATCAGCACCTGACGTTTTCAGTAGCTGTTCGTTGATCCCTTGCGCACATTTTGAGACAAGTTTAGTGATTATCAGTTTTTATGGTTACGACATATGACGTCATAAGTATCAGGTGGTCAAGCCATTTTTAGGTGAAAATAAATATTGTGGCTTAAATCATGCAATGTTATTTTCATGTAAAGCACAAAAGATTATTCTAATTCTTGGTAAAAATCCAAGATAACGGGCAAGATGGCGACCATTGTTGGTGATGTCACAGGCCTCGAGCAGCGCCACCACCCATAAAATATACCTCATCTTGTTGAGAAAGATCAAAGGCTTTCCATAAAGATAAAACGGTTTCCAAATACTGTAACAGATCAAAAACTCCGGGGGGGGGGGTCCATCCACCCCCACCCCCTGTATCCGGCGGTTGAGGTATGAGTTTGCGTGTACGTCCGAGGGTGAAACGTTAAACATGAATTACAATGAAAAAGAGTAAAGCAATTCTGTATCATGTAAACATTTCCAGACGATATTTCTTTGTTTGCCAGTTGAAAATCGTGTTTTTCTTTTTGAATGAATTAATTCAAAGCAAAGGAGTAGTAACTGGCGGTCTATTCAGACGTAACTGAGGGAGTAAAAAGTTATCGTCTGAAATTCAGGCTAGGATAAGAGGAGATCATGATGACGTTTTGTTAATGCTAACATCAGAAATATAGATACAGCCGACTGTCTCTGAACGGACACCTCTGTAAAACGGACACTAAGAGTTGGACCCTGCCTTTCTTTGCTCCCTTTATTTGACTCTCTATAAGACGGAAACCTCTCTAAGACGGACACTTAATGCCGGTCCCAAAGGTGTCCGTCTTAGAGAGAGTTGACTGTACTCATCAGGTTACATTCGCTTCTCCACTGCAGAACTGTAATGGAACTCTCTAAGACTTACTGATGACTGTGTGTCGCAATTAGTAAATTACATAGAAGGCATATGGTTACAGAAGATCAATGGTTCCAAACTTTTTTCTCTTTCCTAACAGAATGATAATAACAGTGATCTTTATCAGCCAATCACCATTGATTTTTCTGTCTCTTAATTATTTCCCCCTTGGCAATGATTTAGAAACAGTGGCATAGCTATGGTATTTATATCAGGTCACATTGGCGCCGCTACCTCACCCTTTCTCGTTCAACTGACACGAATTAATGCTGTTTTACCATTTGCTGTAATGGGAGCTTTATCGGTCATTGGGGCTATCCTGTGCTGGACACTTCCTGAGACCCTCGGTAGAAAAACCGCTGAAGTATGGGAAGATGCAGAAGACAGTAAAGGTACTATGGTACTGTTATTCTATTCATTATATACTAAGGTTGCGATAATGACGATTGAATATCAATAAAGTCGATAGAATTGCAAAACAATGAATTATTAGAGTGCTACCCTTTTGACCACGAAAACTGCCTTTGGACTAAGACTTACTTAATTAAGCTGATAACATGAGCTGTCACGTGGCTAGCCGGGGCTGTTTTGCTCAACGTCATCGTGGATAATTTGCGATTATTCCTTTACTAACGTCAGTGACTCACCCCAAGAAGAGAATAACGGCAGACATCTTTCAAGTTTAGTCGGCGCCAGCTGGTTACAAAAAATAAGCTAAAAAGTAAAACTAATAGACCCTATTCACGATACCCGTCATCTTTGCATGCGCCTTAGCATCGATGGGATATTAGCAATGCCATGTGATTTCTCAGGGGGGCAGACAATGAATAAACGGTGTCAATACGAGTAATAGCGGTCGAATTTGTTTATTCTATCAAAACGGGACGAAGATTTAATAGTCATTCAAAATGCACATTTTGATTTTAAACAAGTTTTACATCATCATTACATGTTGAACGGACATCTACAGTCGCTATTGCTTCCAAATAAAGCTACAATGAACACTTTCGCTAATAACTTGTCATAAGCGTCTTCAAGATAAGAAGTTCTGCACTTTCTTTAGTCTAGAATAAACAAAATCGACCGCGATTTCTTGTATTGGCAGATTTTATCGCTGGTTTGCCCACTGAGAAACCACGTAACATTCCTTTTATCCCATCAGTCCTTAGGCGCGTGCAAAGATGGCGGGTAACGTGAATAAGATCTATTACAATTGCAGAAATATCTTAAACGATGTTGAATAATAGAAGTTATTGATGGAGGTCGAGGATGCAATGAATTATTTTCACTGCACGAAAAATTGGATTTACACTAAATTTACTCAGTGCAAATTTGGTGCAAAAAGTGCAAACTAAGGTTAGATAAAGGGCAAAGATGGTAAATACCGCATTTGCCCTAAAATTTACACCCCCATGTAAACTGGCAAGCAGATGCGGTATTTACCATCTTTGCTTTTAATTTCCTTCTAGTTTGCACTTTTTGCACCATATTTACATTGAGTAAATTTGTGTAAATCCAATTTTTCGTGTAGTGTTTGGTCGATCCACAAGGCGTCCAGACTCACAAAAGCCTAATGGAAATCAATTATATTTGTAGGGGGCCCCGTGTTTTTTGCGTACCCCTGCGAATCTGCATTAGTATGGGTTGGTTTTTCCCCTGTCCATCCCTGCCGAGGGGATTTTGAACGTGCAGTGTGGCTACTAAACCAGGGTAGTTCATTACGAAGAAGATTTTTTCCACGGAAGCGCTTATTTAAGGAAGAGGGAGACAAGACCAACGGCTTAACGTCAACGCCCAAAGACGGGAGCATCCTAGCCGAGACAGGGTCTCAAATCACAACCAGCATGATCTTACCACCCTGGTTGCTGGTCGGGCCGGAGCTTGAACCTACGAGCTCAGACCTGGCAGACAGGTGCTCTCTTAACTGAGTTAACCGGGGGGCGGAGATCGGAAGCACCAGATCTATATAATTGACAATTATCGAATAAGCAGCCGAGGTGCATGGATAACCATAGGTTTTCTTATCATTCATTCAAAATATTTAGTCGTTTCTGATTGGCTTCAATCCCCCAGCTAATTCTTCATAACCAACTAGCTTTTACCATGTTTGGAAGAAGCGAGCAATAAAATCGATTCGATGGTCACCATCGATCAGCCTCGTTTCCAGGCGAGGCAGCGTAGCTGTTTATTCCTGACTGACATAAAAAAATGGCGTTCATGGCTATCCGCAGACGAAATAGCTGAATTTCTTACTAACTGAACGGAAGAAATTCAAGAATACACAAAATAACAATCACAGAATAACAATAATTTAAACCATGCATATAAGATCAGTACTAAGTAGCTAACAGCCGTGACATATACACGAAATCGTGCGCATTCTTATTTTTTTTTACTTCTATTTTTACAGATCCCCCTATCAAATATGGAGATACAGATAACGTTATTTAGAAAAAAAATAAAGCCGAGAAGAATATCTTCTACCAGTTTAGAGACTTCAACTTAATTGTTTTCTCTGAACTCAGGAGCAGACGATATCAACAAGAACGTAAAAGTTAAATTTGCCTCTAGCTATATGCTTTATGCTTTGCGCAACAATTGATTTAAATGGCAAGACTTTCTACTTGGAAATCCAAGGGAAGCACTTGTAATTAAAAAAAATCAAAAATGAAAAAAAATGCCTTTAGTTAAGGAAAACAAGGATATATGTGGGCGACAACTTGAAAACCAATCTTTAATCGTCTGGTAGTGCCACAAGTCGTCTTTAGTTTATGCGAAAATTTGGACGTAAAATAAAATTATTGAGTTTAAACTCTTCGAATGCTGAATAGAGGATAGCACATTTTTCTAAAACTATTCATTTATTGTGGTTTATGTTTTAAAGCGAATGACACGCAGATTATATCAAGTAACAGCTGAGTACATGACAATTTGGGTTTTTATCGCGGGACATCGATTTGTGGTAAATAAAGAAATGTGAAACTGAAAATAACTCGTTTTTGTTAAATTGTTAGATTCCAGTGTGTTTTTATCACTGGGAATTGTTTTCTACAAGAACAACAGTGGCCAAACCGTATAGATAATGCAATGGAAGCTCGCGTAAGCGGACACTCTCGGGACGCCAAAAAAGGTGTCCGTAACTGGAACTGGCCGCTTACGAAAGGAATTCCCGTATGCAGCCACAAGAGGTGTATGGAAAAGGTGGCGGCTGACAAGAGCTTTCCCAGCTACAAAACTAACAACGATAAATTCATTTTGAAGAACGCCGTTCATTGGAGGATGAAATTTCATTTCAAGGGTCCGCTTACGGGAGCCAATATCTAACTCGCGGCCTCTAATACGGGGATGTACGCTTACAGGGATGTAGATTTGTGTGTGTGTGTGGTAGTTCAAACGAAGTTTGGTGAAGGTGGCCGTTAGTAGAACAGTCAGCTTACGAGCGTGTCCGTTAAGAGAGCTTCCAGTGAAGACAGGAGACTGGTTATGAAAGGAGGCAAATATCAAAGGTAAAAGCAACGATGCCGCAGTTTATGTTTGAAGCTCCCTGACGGTACGAATTCTTCTTCTTTTTTTTTTATTATTTTTAACCTTAAATTGCGGAGGAGGGGGAATTAATCAACAATTAATTAACTAATCAATGCGACTTTTTTAATTGTTCTTTTGGAATTCGTGTACTCTCAAATTAACGGCAAGCTTCCGTTAACAATTTTCGAAATTAAAACCCCCCTGTGTCGAGTAATTCGACTACAAATAAAACTAAGGTAACGATGTCATTACTTTGCTATGACAAACCCAAAAATTTAGCACTGGTCATAACAAACGTTCATTTTTGTCAAACACATATCAACAGTCGTTACTGGAAACGTAGTCAATGTTCGGGCTTGGGAGGTATAGCCCCTAAAAAGTCCAGTCGAAGTACCTTAACGTCATTAAAGAAACGCCCCATTTTGGATTTCTCCTTATGTAAGATAATTTATCGTTATGTAATATAATCTTACGGTGTCAGGTAAGCTTTACCGAGTAGACTAACACTCGCGTACTGCCGAACAGGTTAAAGGGTATAGAGACCATGTGATTCCCGTGGTCGTCCAAGTTGGGGATTGGGAAAATTACCGCTCCGTATGTAAGCTATTGGTTTCAAACTGAATAGGGAAAAACAAGAATAAATCGAGCTTATGATCAAAATCATAATCACAATAACTGCAACATATCATTGAAAGTAGGATAAGTAGGATTAATGTATCACTGTAACCAGACTTATTTCACAGTCGTGTAGAAAATTACACTATGTATTATGTTCTAGGGTTATATTACGTTTATGCATATGCTCCCTCTAGGCTGAAACTTTATCTTTGGCTGTCCCATCGGCCATTTCAAATTCTTTATCTGTAAAAGCAAGAAAGTAATACGCTAAGAATATAAAAATATAAGGGAAATCTAAGTGCATCGTAATTGCCGAAAATAGAACACCCTACTTCCAAACGGCTACAAATGGAATATTAAAGCTTCCTCAGCTCTCTCATCTTGGACCATATAAGAATAGTCGTTTAATCACATAGTATCACACAAAACCTTGCGACACTCCCAAGTTCCTGCTGCCTACAACATCCGAAAGACAACACCTCCCCCCTCCCCCAGCATCGGAAACGAAGACGGGCGTGTTTTACGAGATTGTATCAAGAGGCTTTAGAGAGTACTGCATTGGCGAGACATGCAGCTGGGATTCTGGAGAAGGGACTGGGCGAAGATATCTCAGAAGACATCCCACATCTGGGAAGAGCAGTCCATGCTCTACTATGCTTGAGATCGACTGGGAAAGGATCAATTCCTTCACCGGGTGGCCGTGTGCAAAAAAAAAATCATGGAGGCCATCCATATGAGGCCAGCGCCGAATACTAGAGACGGCATAACTTTTTAATCGCAATTTGCAAGCTGATGAGGTGACAAAAACCCTTTTTTATTTATTTATTTTTCTTTTAATACAAGTTGTAGCCGCCAAAACCACATCCTTTAAGAACAGAACTTTAACAAACAAAAATAATAAAATAGAATGGAGGGAAAAACAGAAACTACACAAGTTAACTGACCTTCCTTTTTTTCGTTGTCTTCCATTACTTCAGCGGTTCTTTTTCCCTGGGTCTCTGGAAGAACCCAACACATGATAGCTCCAATGAATGACAAGGCTCCCATTACAGCGAAGGGTAGCACAGAGTTAATACGGGTCATCTGAACGACAAACGGTGAACTTGCGGCACCGATTCGGCTTGCTACAGATACCATTCCCATGCCACTGTTTCTAAACACATTAATAAAGAAAAAAGAAGAAAAACAGAATAATCTCACGTAAAAAGGGCATGTGGCGGGGCGGTAGGGACTGGGGCCCGCTTGAAAGTTTAAAATAGAGCAATTAGCTAGACATGCATCTAAAATCACAGTATTTATTCATTGAAAGCTAAAACAATTTATCATAGATTAAAGCACTTCCAAATCTATTGGAGAGATGAAGGTCGTTGGAAAAATAGTATTCACTATTAAGCCTCTGATGGTCCTGCTAGCCAGCCCTGAATTTGCTTAGCTACCTTAGCGGGGACGATGGCCTCTTCTTAAGTAACGATAATGACAATGGCGATGGTGATGGCGATAGTGATGACGATGACGATGGTAATGGCGATGACGATGACAATGGTGATTGCGTTGGCGATGGCCGTGGCGATTACGATGGCGACTGCGATAGCGATGGCAATGGCAATAGCAATGACAATGGCAATGACAATATGACCATAGCAATGACTGGCAATAGCAATGGCGATAGCGATGACGATGACGATGGTAATGACGATGACGATGACAATGGTGATTGCGATGGCGATGGTAATGGCAATGGCGATAGCAATGTCAATAGCAATGACAATGGCGATGGCAATGGCAATGACAATAGCAATGACTAGCAATAGCAATGGCGATTGCGATGAAGACGGCGATGGAAATGCAATGGCAATGACAATAGCAATGACAATGGCAATAACAATGACAATGACAATATCTATGATAATGGCAATGGTAATGACTATGACAATTACGCAATAGCAACGACAATAGCGATGACAATGGCAATGGCGATGGCAAATCTGGCAATGGCAATGACGATGGCAATGACAATGACAATGATAACGATAACGATAGCCATAGTGATGATAATGACAATCGCTATTCCACGCCCCTCCCCCCTTAAAAAACAAACAAGCAAACAAACAAACAAAAAAACAGATGTGTATGCTTTCTTTATTCCAAAGCCAAATTTTCTGCTATCTTTTTGGTGATTAGTCTTCTTTGGTCCCCTTCAATTATTTCGTTGTTCTAAGTATGACGTTGTCCCGGATTCTGGTACTAATCTTCGTTTATTTTTTTTTTTCATAAAACATTTGAAAATTTTACCTTTTGCAAATATAACTCACCTCACAACAGTTGGAAAAAGTTCAGCGGAGAAAACATACACGGAATCGAAAGAAGTAGTGATAAACATTTTACCCAGGGAACCAAGTGCTACTCGACCAGCAATATAACCTTTAAGAAACCAATATTTCCAATAGCAATAAGTAAGGACCACATGCCATAGTTAGTAAAGGTGGCTGGTTATGAAAGGCAGCAAACATCAAAGTCAGAAACAGCGGTTCTTATGTTAAAATCGCCCCATGTAAGAAAACCCGGATTCCAGAATCCAGGAAAATTTCTCGCGTGGAATACAGAATCCGGGAAAAATATTGCTTGTGGTATCTGGAATCCTGGGCTTTGGAATCCGGTATAAAGCTCAAGAAATCCGGAATCCCACTAGAGATTGGAATCTAAAATCCAAGTTCCACTGACAAAGACTGGAATCCAGTTCCTGGAATCCCGAATCCAAGGCATACAATGCAGAATCCAAGACTATCTTGGATTCCCTTACATGGGGCAATTGAAAGCTTCCTGACGGTGTCCAATCTTTTGTATCACCTGTTCACAAATTGTGACTGGATATTTAGATTAATACGACGTTTTTACTGGTCAAAAATATCAAACTGATAAAAAAGGCCATTAAACGTTGTACACCGCCAAGTCCACAAAAACATATCACAAAGGAGTCTTGCGGGCCAGTTTAACCATTGCACTCTTAACTGTGATATACCGTATAAATATCCAATAGTCGTTCACTTGGCTTCTTATCAAAATGAGACTGATTGCGCTTTTTTACCTGTGTTATTTGTACCATGGGGAATAAACGAAACTGCCACTACAGAAATTCCTGCGGCAATCATGTAGGCCGTTGTGGTCTTCTTGCGGCCAAATCTAAACACAGAAGTGGGAATTATTTAGCACAGTAAAAACCTTCGAATAACAACCTGCATTTTCCAAAGTTATCCTAAACGAGTTCTTACATAAATGGTAATTAACACAAATTTAGGCTATTCGGGTTCTTAAAAAAGTTCTTAGTTTTCTGAAGAAAAAGAACATTTTCTTTTCATTCTGTCTGGTCCTCTGGTTCATCATTCGTCATTTTACAAACTCGTCCATATGCTGATGTGCAGGAGATACAAACAATATTATTGAACAGTCAACACTAAAAATTCTAGCTCATATAATTCATATACTGTATTTAACATGTAATTATATCAAATACCATTTTCGACATTGGCATTTACATTGCATTCACACGGTTGGTGTGACAAGTCACTTATGATGTCTCCAAAGTGTACAGAATTTTTATTTCTATTGTAGATTTTAGACAATAAGAACCCGTTTCAGTTTTAGGCTAAACAGGTTCTTAATTTTTGTATAATATGTATATATTTTAAAATTTTAGGTTAAACAGGATCTTGTATAGTGGGGGGTCTAACTGGCAAATTTTCTTAGAAACCAGGTTCTTAGTCTCGGTTTTTTTCTGTAATTTAACTGAGAGCGATTGTTCATTCCCGTCCGCTGATGTCTCGTACAACCTCGAAACAAGAAGATTTTCTCAAGAAAAAAAGCGTCGAAAGATTCCCAAATCAACGCTACTCAAAAGGGCTTTTGATTTAATCAGTTTATGAGAAATGGACACACTGATTACGATTGGAATACGGATCATAAATCTTGAAGAAAGTTCTTGCAGGAATCATGAATCCTTAAATAGATTGTATTTAGGTAAAAACAAACAAAAAAGTAATAATAACAATAAAAGAGCTGTGGATATATCAAGATTAAAACGATTTCGCTTTTGTGGACGGCCAAGGTTAAAGTGTTAGTTAACAACAGATTTAACTTTCGAATATAACTGTTATATATTTCTGCAACTAAATTTAAATAACCTGTTACAGTTGTGGATGACCAGTATATTCCCAGGAATTTCCACCAAGCTTGTAAGAACAAAGTTCAAATAAATGCTTCCACCAAATTCTCCTGAGCTCAAAGAAAGTCCGTAATATACCATACCATTCACAAACCTGTAATGATAGAAGTAATATTACAATGGATAATATTATCGTATGAGAAAAGTGGAGAGATCATGTTTAAGGACTTTCACTGCTTTCCAGACAATCAAAGAATAGAATGTAATGAATAGATGAACAGAAGAATGGAAGTTTTACCCGTTTTCAGATGTGAAACAAATTGGCGGCACTTTCTCTCTAAATAATAATGATAATAATAATAATGATAACGATAATGATAATCAGGGTCCGAAATTAACTTTTTAATACGAGCGCCAGCTGGCGATCAAGTATAAATTTTTGGTCGCCAGAGGGAAAATTGTGGTCGCCAAAAATTCCCCCTCCCTTTTTTTCAAATAAAAGTTTAAACACGAATAAAAAATGCATTGTATGGACGTTTTTGTGCTCAAAAATTGCACTACTTCCGCTCCCGATACCAGAAAGCAACCGTACGTGTACGAGTGAAGTCTTATTTTTTCCACAAATTACTTTTTGGAGATACACATGTAAAGCTATCTGGCCTAGAACGTAGGAACAGAAAGCTGCAGTCTGCTCATGACTGCACTGATCATATCAAAACTCTATTTTCTTCCGATAACTACCACGAAACATAGCCGCCATATTGCTCGTACCAGGCCACAACTGTGCCACATTACTCGTACTAGTCCACAAAGTACATAACGTACTTACCGTATTACAGCTGAAAACAACATGGCGGCTTGGAAACGTTCAACTCGTATTGATAGTAGCTGCTGTGGAGGTATTATTACAGGAAGATTTTTTTTTCACTTTTAATTAAAAAATATCAGCAGGACAAAAAGTGAGACACCTGTTGGCAAATAGCTTCGAGGTTTCAATTCTTAATCAGTTTCTCCGAACGTTTAAGTCCACAATAACAACCAGCTTTACAAGTCGCTAGCTGGCGACCAGTTATGAAATTCTGGTCGCCAGGACTAAATGTTTAGTCGCATTGGCGACCAGGAAGGCGCAATTTCGGACCCTGATAATAATAATAATAATAATAACAAGGTGCTTAAAAACGCATTTTACAACTAATGGAAGTCTCGATGCTTTTTACGTTATTTACCTAATCTAACAATAAACACGGTTAAAAAGAAAAGTTTTTAACCTCGATTTAAAAGAGTCAACTGTGGAGCACTGTTTGATTGTAATGGGTCGATCATTCCAGAGCTTTGGTGCAATGACGGAGAAGGATCTGTCGCCATAGGTAACCGTTCTAGTCTTTGGAATAGACAGCAGTTTAAGCTGCTTGACCATAGTAAACGGTGAGGCGTGTAGTTAAATAGCAGCTCATTTAAATAGGTCGGTGAGAAGCTATGGAGGATTTTGTATGTAACCAACAGAGTTGGAAGGAGTGATGTGAGCCGACGTTTTTGCTCTAACAGCTAGCCTTGCGGCTGTATTTTGCAACCGTTGTAGTTTCTCTAGCTCATTGGAGGGTATGCTGTAAAGAATGCTGTTGCCTAGTAATCCAGTTTTGAAGAAACAAATGCATAAATAAGATTTTCCTTAGTGCATCTAGATAGAAGGTTCCTAATTTTCCGATGTGATGAATAGATCGTAGGGCGGAGCGGCAAATGTTGTTGACGTGAGTTTTAAAAGTAAGATGGCGATCAAGTGTGTCCCCGAGGTCTTTGACTTCATTACTCAAAGAAATTGGACAATCTCCAATCTTGATAGAAGGAACTAGTTTGGCCTGTGAAAAATGCGAGGAAAAGTGCATGAATTATTTCAGTCTTGTTTGGGTTACATTTAAGCATGTTAAAAACATTCCAGGACATGATATCTTGGATACAAGGCGTAAGGTCCTTTAATGCTTTAGCACGATTGCTTTGACTCATAATAATGTAAAGCTGAGAATCGTCTGCTTACATCATTGCATTTAAGCCGTGAACCGTAATTACATCTTCCAGTGGAGAAATATAAAGAGAAAATAACACCGGCCCTAAAACGGAACCTTGAGGGTCTCCACAGGATAAACGACGAGGCTGGGAAGAAAACTTCTCTAACACTATCCATTGAGGACGGTCAACCAGATAAGAAGTTAACCACTGAAGAACTAGGTTAGAATCGTAACTGTAAAGTTTATTAGCATTCCATAAAAAATGGTTCTTCTATGCTACAGTATACCAACTGTTAAAACTAACTACAAAATATGAAAAAAAGGTAGAACTCTAAAAGAAAAAAAAAACGTAAAAATATATATCTATATACAAAAAAGGGGGTCACACGCTAGACTTGTTAAGGGCTTCGTAATGTTCTTTGTATTTGCATACAAAGGTGGCTCTCTCCGTGCAAGTTTTGATGGTCTTGGGGAGGTTGATGAAACATTGCGCGGCACTGTCTTGGAAGATGCCTGACTATTCTGGAACAATAAGATTCAGTTCATCCGAGGATCTTAAATTCCGCTGGCTTGTTCGTACCTAGACCAGTGACGCTACTTAGGGCTTTGAATACCATTTTGCACAAGTTGAGCTCTATGTTATAGGCTACGGGTAGCCGGCCCAAGTCAAGGACAGCCGACATGGTCGCATAACGATTACGAACAAAGCTGGCGGCTGCAATCTGGACACGAAGTAAGCGGCGAACGAAGAAATCAAGAAAGTAATCAAGAAGGTGGTGACATAAACAATGTCGTTATAATATAGTTTAGAAAATACGAGACTTTCGGCTACTTGTTTCCTAACATTAAGTGGAGCAGACCTCTTAAGTTTTCTAATTAGAGAAAGAGAGTTATGACAACTCGACACTTTTAGGTATAGATTACAATCAGCCGACCAGGTGGCCAGGTCGTTGAGAGCCTGCTGTAACCGCTTTTCGCCATCTTTTAAAATAGTGGGTTTCTTCTGGAGATACATTGTTGTGTCATCAGCATATTGGTATGACTTGATAGAACCCAGGCAGTCTTAAATTTCATTAACATAGAGGTTAAATAGTATTGGCCTCAGAATCGAGTCCCGAGGAACACCAAATGTCACGTCAATATGCTTAGAGGTATTGTCGTCTATTTGGACGAATTGTTTTCTGTCAGTCAGGTAGGAAACAATCAATCTGAAGTTGGCCGTGGAAAAGCCTAGACCACGTAGCTTTAGCAGCACAGTTTCGAAGGCGACAGTGTCGAATGCCTTGAAATAGTCAGCTAACACAGCCCTAGTAACCTCACCTCGTTGCATAACCCGAAGGATGTCATCCATCATGGCCAATAGCTCTGTGGTGGTATTGTGTCCTTTCCTAAAAGCGCTTAGGGTGTCTTTAAGAACGCCCCCAGAAGAAGTGCTAAAAGATCAGCTTTCTGACGTAGTACAAGGCGCTCGTAGAGCTTTGAAAACACAGGAAGTATTGACATGGGCCTAAGCTCGTTGTTGGTCTTGACTTCACTTGTTTTAGGGACAGCGCTAATATGTGCTTTCTTCCATGCCACGGGAAAATCAACTTCTAGATACAGGTGTTCTATACGTGCGTTAATGGCGACGCAATGTGAGCAGCCAATATTTTGACAAATTTAACCGGGATATTGTCTGGCCCGGAAGAGCAATCTGATCTTAACTTCTTTATCTGCTGTAAAACCTCTAAACAGGTGTTCGATCGTAGTTGGAAGGAAGTGTCGCTGTCTTCGGGAAAAGCGTCAATCAACTTGAGAAGAGCTTCAACTGGTTTTGCAGTAGCGCTAGAAGTGACTAGCTCCGAAGTAGATGCGAAGAAAGCATTCAACTCGTCAGGGTCAACTGTAAGCGGTGGTGTGCTGGGAGTAAGCGGTTATCATTATTTTTCTCAGAAATTAATTTTGTTTTGTTTTGGTTTTTAATTTTGATTGTTTTTTGTTTTGCTTTGGTTTGTTGAATTCGGTCGCAGTACTGAAGAAGAGAAAAGTTTATTAATTACATGAATCTAGGCACTTCAAAAGCAATTATTTATAGCATACGTATATCGCAACACTTACCAAACATATATCTGAATTAAAGACAGTTTTGCCAGATACCATGTTTTGAAGAGTTCTAAAACTCCTTTATTTGCCGTGGTTACGGGGACAAGAATATCTTCACTTGGCATTTCCTTTTTGTTCACTTTTGCTACATTCTGCAAAATGGCTTGGGCTTTATCTCTCTGTCCTTTCACGAGAAGCCATCTAACCGATTCTGGAACAAACCTTTCATGAAAAATGCATTTCATATATCAACTTTTAATTTTCGATTAATACATTGATTAATTTGAATTTATATCAAATATATTATCTACAACGCTCAGTGTAAGGTTTTTTTTGGGGGATAAATGATTTTTCGGGTAAATCATCATTTCCCCCTCGCACTGTACTGGCCTAAGCTTTGGTAAGGAACTTTACCTCCTTCATATTCCAGATTCTGGAATTAAGGGCCATTTTTTTTCTTTTGATGGCATGACATTGAAAACCAGCAATCTAAGAACTATATGAAAAACGTGCTGAACGGGTTTGATTGCAGGGTTGCTAAACTGAAAGTGACGAACGTCAAGGCCTTTTTTCAGAAATTCGATCTTGATTGACTTTCATTTTTTTCCTAAATCGAGAGCTATAAAAGTTCAATGACAAAAACAACCGTGTACCGGTAGGGGACTGTGGTTAAGGTTGTGCTCAAACTTCCTTTTCCAAACGGCAAGTGTGACGTAAGGATTTGAGTGGCAAAACTGACCGAAACTGTTTACTGCATTTTCGCCCCATGTAAGGTTAATCGGAAATCCTAGGCTTTGGAATCCATAATCCGGCTTAAGGAGTCCAGAATCCCGTAAACAATTATAAACTCAGTCTTAAGTTCCACATATAAGGATCCAATACCTAGAATCCGCATTCCTCAACGTCTCCTTACATGGGGCGATGTATATATTTTCGCTTACTTCCAAAAGACAAGAATGAAAATCCATGGAGCCGAGGAAAGGATCAATAGTGTGCGCCAGTCGCGTACAAAGTAGGCTGTGAGTCCCAAAACCATTAAGGCTGCCGTAAAATAAAACCAAACCAAGGTTCCTGCTAGGGCACGTTTCTCGGGTCCAACGAGTTCAGTCGCCAGTACGAACATTGACAAAAAGCAGCCTGCCTCAAAAAACCCGATAACAGCACGGCAAACAGCCACTATCCAGAAGGCTTTTGCAAATGACATCGCAAATGTAACAACAAGAACTACGAAGACGGATGGGAAAAGAACGCTCTTTCGTCCAAATTTATCTGCCACCAAACCAAGTACGATTGCTCCAACTGCCCAGCCGAAAAATAGCATGGCGTTTGCTAACCAGCCGAGGAAGCCACGACTGCAGACTAAATCAAACTAAAAAAATAACCACAACAAGCAGATAAAGAGGTAATTAAGTAGATGAATCTATAAATAACAACTTATAATGAAAAGACTTTTATCGCGTTATTTGATTTCCACCATGTGTTCTTTATCTTTTTTTCTAGCTTTTGGTTGGGGTTGTTTGCTTGTTTTTGTTTTTTTTTGTCAACATCCGCCGTTAGTCTCCTTCGCAGCCGCTCGGGCCGGATCGGACTCCCCCAATAGCCCCCCCCCCCCGGCTCGAGTGGCAGCCAAGGAGGCTATCCCCGCGTCCATCAAAAACTAAGTTATCCATCCTTAAATTTATTTATTTATAGTCTAAGCCACCCCTAGGAGAGATTTGAGGTCAAGTGTGCAAAGTATACTATGATATCTTGCCCATTTGACAACTGATTTTGGATTCATCACGAAAGCTCACGTGTTCTTTGCCCGATTGGCTCTAGTGGCACCGAATACGTATTTCTTGTTGTTGGTGGTGAATACGTTCAAAAACTAAATTATTTCCTTTTTGTTGTTGGTGGTGTTACTTTCCACGGCGCGTAAAGGTTTTTTTCATAAAGTTGTTGTAACAGCTTTACGCTCATTTTAAAGGTTTTAGGTTTTTATTCTTCCTAATGAAGAATTTATTCCCGGCACTGTTTTTAGTAAGTCGTTTGTTTCCTGACACTAGTTCGCATAGTTTTTTTGCAATGTTCAAAAAACGTTCAAAAATTGAAAAGAAAATGCCAGCAGAGTTCTAACTTGCGACTGTGGCGAAACCATATCTGTCGCGGCAAACACAATAGAATACGTATTTCTGTGTTTGATTGTTTTGGAAAAAATTGGTGTTATATTTATTTTTTCTTACACGGGCCATTTTTTTTTTTTTGGCGGACGGTTATTTTATTCTCCATGCAATGTTTTCAAAACTCTGACTATTTTACATTCAACAGTACAGCCAATACATGAGCATGTTGCAACTTTACACCAGTTATACATTTAAATCTGGCTTACTAAGATGCCTAAACGCTTTATTTAGATGTAAAGGTGGCGTAAAAATCTATACGTATTATGTCTGTTGTCGCGCTTTTCTGCAAGACAAGAGCATGTTAAACATCACAGTACATATAAATCTGGGATGATTTCGATCTATGTAAAGGTGGCGTAAAGTGAAGTTTATCGGTGGCGCCTCACGGATCTGTGACAATGTTTTGATCCAAAATCTCTGTTCATCACGAAAGTGCACTTTTTTCTTGCCATCCAGTACAGAGGTTTCATCACAGGAGGGTGAACAAAAAGAAAAGGTCACCTCTATATCTTCTGAAACTTTATAGGGTTCTATGAAATAACCTCGGATCAACCCGAGCTAAATGGTCTCTGCGTGTTGTGGTTGTGAAAAACGATTTGATTACTTTATCTGAAGCCTTGAATATGTCAAGTCAAACAGCACTAAGCTCTCATGGCCCTTTCATTGATTTAAAACCATTAAGTCTTATTATTGGAGTTACCGATCACGGGATGGAAAAAGCGTTGAAAAATTTTGATTACTAGGTTTTCTACGCTAAGGTGAAGTTGGATACACAATAAACCATAGTTCTTTTAACTATTTAAGTCGATTGTGCGTGTGTGACCTAATGTTTGACCTCAACTAATATTACACTTGAAACTATCGGTTGAGCTAAGATGTCCGCTTCTATGCCGGGCTTTTCTTACATTCTTTGAAAAACATTTAAGGATAAAAGAGGGACAGGATGAAGGTTCATCCTGAAAACGTTTTAGTGTACAGTGTTGTACAAAAAAACTCAGAAAACTTCTAAAAAAGTACAAAACGAAAAAATATATATATTAGATTCGTGCATTATCTTATACGCTGTGGCTATATGGCCGTAACCTGTCAAGGTTTTCAAAACACTAAATGACCGGCAGTCCTATATTCTCAGTAAATTTGACAAATCGAAAAAAATCGAACTAACCTAAACTATATGTCGATTAAGCCTGAGTTGCATAACCATGATTTTATCAGGAGCGCTTACCACGCAGATTATAAGCACACTAAATGCATGCAGCTGACGACAGTGCAAAAAAAAAATGTGTACTGTTCTCCAATTCAGGATGGGAATTGCCTAAATCGGTTGTGAGACGAATTTCCCCTTATCTGACATAAAACTAACTAACCCAAACCCGCGCCCACTTTAAATCCGGGGGCTACATTCGAAACAAACTGCACTGGAATCCGGTTTTTTGGCCGCCTGCGAGAAGCAAATAATGGGTTTGAACTATCGGGAGGTTTTAAAAATCTAAGGAAAAATAATCACAATGTTTGAATGGTGAATGGAGGTTGGTTTTGGCCTAAAATCCGAGGGTTTGAGAAACCGGTATTATACTGTACTGTGCTGCAAGCCCTCAAGTTAATGTTTTACCTCATCAACAATGGTGTTATGTGGCCCATCATATAGATTGTAGTTTGCAAACTTCCAATCACTCCTTTCCAAAGTACATCTCCTTTCATACAGCTCACTTGGTTTGGTGGCTGTACTGTAAACTGCGCTCCGACCAGACGAACGGTTAAATTCGACGCACGGTTCGCTCTGCTGGGCGCACATCCATGGAGGCTCGTATGCGACAAACACCATTATAAGTGTTTGGAAAGTGATGGGAAAAAATATGAACAAAAACATGGCTAAAATTCTAATCTGAAACGGGCCAAACTGGCCAATGCGTCTTAAAATCGAGTCTACGTCTAATGCCATGTTGTTTTCCTCACTTTTCCTCACTGCACCAGGTATGACTGTCGGCAGATACTTCACCAGCTCTGCACCCCCTTTGAAATATCCTAGTGTTAGATTACGTACGCCTATGTTTATTTTTTTAGTAATCTATTTACACGCCAGACAATATAAATCCATTCGGTGCACATAAACCAGCCAGCAAAGAGAAAGAGCATACATTAAAGGGAAAGAAAACAAAACAAAAAAGGGAAAAGAGGAAGAAAATTAATTATTGCTGCCTTTCACTGTCACGCCATGGAAAATAATAATCAGACCGTTTAACGAGATAAAACTCCGAAAATAAGCCCCGGGGCTTACATTTTTCAAAGGCCCTTTTTGAGGGGCTTATATTCGGAGGGGCTCTACGGACGGAAATTTGCGTTTCAAACTCGATTGGGCTAACCTTATAGTTGGAAGTAAATTTACTGTTTTTGCTTTGTTTTACTTTGTATTTGAGGACAATTTTCCAGGTACAAGCCCCTGTGGGGGCTTACATTTGGAGGGGCGATTTAACGGAGGGTTTTTTGCGTTACCGGTTTGGGGGCTTATATTTGAAGGGGCTTATTTCGGAATTTTACGGTGTACAAAGACTTTCGCCAAGATTCAGGACAATGTATTTTTTTTATATGAGGTATTCGGAGGAATGTTTATAAAGCTTTGTATGGAGAGGCCATTTCGTTTTGTTTTGTTTTGCGTTTGGCTGTGTGAGTGTGTGACCGTGTGTGGCTATTTGGCCTGTAACCGGTCAAGGTTTTCAGAATGCTAAATGACCGGCAGTCCGGTATTTTTAATAAATTGGACTTATCTAAGAATCCCAACCAATCCAAACTATCATTTGTCGATCAAGAAAAGTCAAGCGATCCTAAAATGCTTTATAGATCTCAAGTCTAGCGTTTGGTTTACGCTGGGCTCAGAAAACGATCGAAATCATGTTTAGTGACACTTAAAACCTTTTTTTAGGTCGACTGCCGGTCAAGGTTTTTAAAACACTA